GCTCACCGGAACGATACGTGTGTGTCTAAGTGTCCAGGAAACATACATGTGTGTCTGGAGTGATTCACCAGAAGGCGTAATCTGTGTTCAGGAGTGGTTCACCGGAAACCGTACAGGTGTGTGTGTGTTACCGACGTACGTCGGGCTTGGTCTGGAGTGATCACCGCACGTACATGTGTGTCTGAGTGTTCACCATAAACACTACATGCGTGATTTGAGTGTTTACTCGGAACGTACATTGGGGTGTCTGAGTTGTTTACAGGAACATTGCATGCGTGTTGAGTGTTCACCGCGAACAAATATTGGAGAATCTTTACTTTATTAAACTTATTACTGAAGATAATGAAATGAAATGAAGTAGAAACTGTAAATTACTAGATTGTATTTCTAATATCTATCGATTTCTATATAGACATTCTATAGAATAAACAATTAATTCTAAGTACGTATCACTGACAGTTTGGGTGTGCAGCCTAAACGTTTTTGAACTTTCCGATTCTTCGGCCTCGCACAGAAAAAAACATGCAACAGTTTTAAGAACTCAACCAGATGAGCACGGAGAATACAGAGAAGTGTTGCCGAAAGGAAGATGTTCATCCTAACGGTGCGACGCGGATCATTGCGCGCAGTATCCGCAGCAAAAGCGCACCGCGACGCGGGAACGTCCTACGACAGTATGCAGCGCGTGGCAGCTATGCGACGTGCGCTCAAAATCGCAATAGGTCGGCCGCACCGGCTCCATGAGCTGCCAGCGGAACAGTCCGGAATTTTAGGGGGGGACACAGAAGGCAGACGATTTGGACGTGGGGCATGATCTTCGTCGACTTAGACGTGGGCCGACGGTCAGACAGATGGGGGGAAGGGGCGAGAGCAAAGCTTTTGATTCGGCGCGTGCCGTTCCACATTTGTTGGTCTTACGCGGTTTTCACCTAGAATTTGTACAGCGGCCCCATGACGCTCTGTCCTATGTAACACTTTGCATATAGTGAACATCAGAGAGATCGGCACACATATTGCATGAAGAAATGAGATGACGATGTTTGTGCGAGACCAGTATGCGCATTATGTCGCTATTCGTAACATCGAACTGATTCCTCCTGCGTATTGTGCGGTCATGCAGAAATGTGACTTGTAATTCACCGCCACTGTGATAGCAGGTTTGGGGCACGTTCTCGTGCGTGTTTTTCAATTGAAATGGGACACCTCGAAGCTAAAATTGCGCATGCTGTGTTCATTCAAAAAGCACTAAGAGGACTAACTTGCACGGCGTACACCCATGAGGTTGTGCGAAGAAAACATATTTTAAACTGACAGATGAAACAATGATATACCTTGCAAAATGGGTTGCTAACTTTTTCTGTGAGCGTCATCAATTGCCATATATTTGAATTGGTAAATTTTTTTTGGGAGGTAGCGCATATATAATATGATAAACTGGCCAGTTAGAATTACTTTAGAATACCACTATTTAATAATTTATTGTTACGATGTTAGCATGATTTAATTCAGGGCTTCAAAACATTATAGGATGTGATGTATGGAATTATGCGTCAAGAATTTATAGTTAACTCGCTGAAAGAATACAAGACTACGGGTTTTACTAATGGTCGTTGTGGCGATGATTAAACATAGGGCTAACAATTTGATTTGCGTGACCATGGGGCGATTACAGTTAAAATTACGAAATTTCCGAATATATTATATATACGTGGATGTATAGTTTTGTAACAATTTAAAGTAACTGTTGACCAAAGTAGAAGATTACAGTCTATTAACCTTATAATGCCCATAATTAACCACATGGGTAACAATTTATTGTTAGTACGATTGGGTGATAAACTTTCTTCATCTGTTATGGTAAACATGGACTAGCTTTAAAAATTTACTCGCTTGACTAACAGTATATAGTAATGTATTTTGACGTTTTGTAAGGCATTTTTAACCAATTTATTTAAGACATGTCAGCTGATATTGAGCAAGGCCGGTACTAACAAGTTTAACGTCACTGTGACAACGTAACGGACTTTATAGCGGTCGGCATTTAAGCATATTAAGATAACTGTTGAAACACACAACCTGAAAAGTTAATCGGCTTGCTAGTCCAGTGGCCAAAAATGTTGACCCTGCACATGCTTACATTACTCTAACTTTTTTCATGGAATGTGTTCTATATAGGTTATGATGAGCCTGGATTTAGCTTGGTTTGCTACCTGCTGCCCAACGTTGAGCATTTCTTTGGAATTCAAAGATGGCCGCCGCCGTCGATTTGGATTTTGGTCAATTTAGCAATTTGTGATCTACGAGTATGCCTAGGAACTCTGTGTCATGCAATACCTCTTTTCTTAGGGCCATGGCTCGTCGGGTTTCGAGTGGCGGAGGGAGTCTATCTTTCTGGAGTTATTTTTTAGATATGGGGTCATGGTATGGTCAAATGACGAATGATTTATTTTGGAAACTTGACGGCAACATACCTGAGATGAGGCTGGTCATTAACAGAGTAACAATAAAATAAGTGACACTTTTAATTCTT